TGAATTTGAAAGATGCATTACCTTAACAGTGAAATTGTAAAGCAGCATGTATTTAAGTGACCTAAGATTGCACTGTGAAGGTGTCAGTGATGCTACAGAGCCAGTATTTGTTCCCAAGCAATGTTTTACCCTCCTAAAAGGATGTATAAAACAGCATATCTGATGCTGCTGTGGGAATTTAATTTAGAAATGCTGGGCATTTTTAATATGTAGATATTCTTACTTAGACATTAAATACCGTAGATATTCTTAGTACTGAGCAACAGGAAATTTTTTACAAATGGTCTTGTATTTGAAGGCAAAAAGAATTTGAAAGGTAATGTGGACTCTCTCAGTGTGCTCTTTATGAATTTGTCAACAATGAGAAATCAGAAGATCAGAACAGAGCCAGTGGCTTTTAAATGAAGGGATTTTGAATGTCTTTTAGAAGAGAAGAAAAAAGAACCCAAGAAATTACAGGCCAGTCAGCTTAATGTCAACTGCTGTAAGATTTCTGGAACAAATTATCAAACAAAGTCTAAGCATCTTAAAGATAACAGTGAGATAAGTGTGAGCCAACATGGATTTGTCAAGAACTAATTCTGTCAAACAGATCTGGTTTCCGGTGGTAGCAGGGCTCAGGCTTTGTGGCTGTGGGAGAAGCAGTTGAGCTCATAAACTTTGGCTTCAGTAAGGTTTTAAAACTCTCTCTAAAACATGAGACCCTTATGAGCAGCCAGAGAAATATTATCTTCATGAAATTTCTGCTACATCCTGTGTGGAGGGAGTGGAATTTGGATGGAAGGAAGTATGGGGTAGGGCTGTTCTGTACTCTGTGTAGGCTCACTCATTAGCATTTAAAATGAACTAAAGTAATTAGAAATTGAATTAATGGAATCTATTAATAATAATTAAGTCTGCATGGAGCTCTGTCAACAGTTGAATGAAGAAGAAATTATCAGCTGACCTCATTTAGTACCAAAAATATAAACTTTAGTGTGACACACGTGATAGTTTGAAGAATGAGTTACACTTCCAAGAACTACCAAGCTGCAACTTGAATTTTGGAAGATTTATCTTTACAAAGTTCCACCATTTACTTTGCACAGTGAATGTGTAAAACTGTAACAATAAAGGCATAGCAAAAATTGCATCTTTCACCCAGTGACCAGTAGGAAATGTCAGTGGAGAATATGATCTAAGTTAGACACAGACACACCATTTTCAGTGCTGTTCTCCACCTAAAATGAGATCTAAATAATCTGCAGTAAAATTTTTAGACCTGTAGTAAATCCTGCACAGAGGATAAAGGCCTAAAAATGTTCTGAGTCATTTGGCATATAAGGAAGTGGATTTTGGAATAGATGGAACTCCAGAAACAGTACAGAAAAATCCACTGGCCATGCTTCCAAAAGATTACTGGGTAGTGAAATGGTAAAAAACCTTGTGAAGAAGAAAAATTCCACAGGCTTCTAGAAAAGCACTGAACTGGGCACTGGGGCTGAAAACTGGAGGGCAAAATGCAATGAGACAAAGTCTAGATATCTACTTCCTCCCCTACACTAACTGAACCTCTTCAGCAGCCCATTATAAGTTAGTGCTCTTGAAAGGTCTGTAACATGAGGAGAATATTTCACTTACATGAAGTTCTTAAAAGCAAACTGTAGCTGAATAAAAATAATGTTTTGAGGGCACTGTGTGAATGCAAGAGCAACTACTCAGATATTGTATCTATACCCAGCTGTTGAGAAAAGTTTATTTAGAAAAGCCATCAAAGCTTGATTAAAATTTAATGGGATGATAGGATAAATGTGGTGAGTCCACTGAGGTCTGAATTGCTGCCAGTATTGATTAACACCCTTAACAGCCCACTGGGAATCCTATCAAAAACACATTTCAAATCTAAGCTGTGGGAATCAGAATAAAGCATGAATAACACCTAGGTAACAACCATGCTATCAGTCAGATGAGTGTTTTATTTCCCTATATGCCAAGTGAATGAAACAAGTTAGTGGAAAGTTGCCAAAGGATTGTACCTGGGGGCTTGAAAAATGCTGAAAATACAAGGTCAGATTCTTCCTGCTATAATTTCATCAACCTAGCTGAATTTTCTAAAGGTTAAATATAGCTCATGGTCTGTATCCCAATCAGCTTACATCAAAAAATTTTTGATGTGTTGAATGATAAGTTTATAGATTGTAAGGGGATACAGCTGGCATGGAAACTGATGCAGAAGTGATTACAAAGAGACTTGATTGAGAAAAGACTGTTCTGCTGACAGTAAAAATACAGTTGGTCCAACTGCAAGGCTGGCAGTGAAAAAATATAAAACCAAGCATGAGAAAAGAGAGAGGAGAGCAGATGCAGTAGAGGATTCTGAAAAATACACAGAGGGAGAAGGAGGACAGAATAAAATTGCAGCTGGTATGTTAGCAGGTCTGTCATTTCTTTAACACTGAAGATAAGAAGCTTTAACTTTCTGTGTCAAGGCAGAATCTCAGAAAAACTTGAAAGAACAATGGAGAGAATGTCAAAAGCATGAGATTGTTTTAAACTGAGGCATTACAGCTATACTGGTAAGGCAAGTACTGAGACTTGGAAGGAGCAGACAAAAGGTTATGTTTTATGAAAAATCAGCCAAGCATGCTCTAGATTTGAAAGAGCAGAAATTAAAAAAGGAAGGGATGAATGCTTGCAATCCAAGAAGACAAAAGGTTAAGGGAGGTGCTGCAGATGACTCTGAGGTTTGTTAAAAAAATGGAGCTGTTAAGGAGGAGGTAAAATCTAGAGGTTTGAGGGGTTGGTTTAGGTTGGTGCTTTGTTGTGGGGGTAGAGAGGGGCTTGAATCGTCACTCTGCAAAAATCAGGTGCTGGCACTTTGTTCCAAATCCTAATTCTACAGTTAGCTGAAAAAAGTGGTAAGTGTGAAGAGTACTAACTGTTGGCAACCAGCTTTGTAATTTTTTAATCGATTGAACAATTAGAATTATTAAATAAAAGGCAAACCCAGAAACCCCATGTGGCCTCATTACAAAAATGTTGGCTGGAATTCCTGTCCTTCCTTTACAGGAAGCAGCTTAAAGTAGTTAAAAATATAATCTTTTGTCCCTCTTTTCTTAATTGCTGGATGGGGTGAGTTTATTGAAAACTGGTAGCCACTGCTAGTCTGGGACTCATAGAAGTTGTGTCCTGAGCCTCAGCTGAGTGTCCTCTGCAGACCCAGCTGCTCATCCATGGCCTTGATGGTGACAAGGGAGGGTGGGGCCTCCTTGGGGAGAGCTGTCTGTACTTCAGAGTGGAGATTTTAGAGACAGAAATGCTTTGCTGCCCTAAGACGCTGACACATTCAAGGGAAAAACAATGCTCTAAATCACTTGTAAATAGCTGGTTTCAAAGAAGTGTCATTAAATGTACTTTCTTAGGAGGTGGCTGTGGTGTTTGGCATGGCTCCTCAAATACAAGTGCTGCTGAGAAGTATAATAAGGCAGTGAGGTAATCTAGTTGACAAGGTGTGTTTGTATCCTCTTTTACCATTTTCTTTCTGATTTTTGTCATAGTCTTTAAATGTTCACATCTAGCTGACAAGGTGTGTTCGTATCCTCCTTTTACCATTTTCTTTCTGATTTTTGTCATAGTCTTTAAATGTTCATGTCCTGACTAGCTGGATACAGACCCCAAATCATTGAATCATTATGGGAATGCTGAAATACTTTGCTGACCAGGGTTGAAGCTAAGCATAGTTCAGCCTGTTGCTTTGCTGAATCTGATGGATTTGCTGAACTTCCTGTAAGCTTTTCCCCTATAAAAATCATCTTGCTTAAATGCATGAGCTAAACAATAGAACTATCCTGAATGCTGATCTGAACCTGTTATTTGTCTGTAGCCCAGTGTTAAAAGTGTTGAAAGTGAAAATGGGAAGTTAACTTGTTTGCAGGAGTTGTTTTTGTTTGGCTGTTCCTGCAAACATAAAAAGCCTGGGTTACTGAATAATCCATGAGAAGCCAAATGTCTGCTAGGTGAGGTCACAAAAATACTCCTGCAGTCTGCTGTGAGTGGTAGAGAGGGCAGGTCTAAACAAGGCAGAGAGCCTGCAATCACATTTCTGTGCGGGTCCCCACTGCCACAAAATTCAGGAGCTGTCTGATGCAGGACATAGAGAAGTGTTAACTTTGATGCTGCAGATGGAGAAACTGAGGCCCAGCAAGGCTGCCCAGCTGGGCAAGCACAGTTAATGGCCTAACTCTTATTTACATGTTCAACTCCAATAGTTTTCAGAAGGTATTTAATGCATTCATGGATCTGAGTTTAATCTGCCAGGAAAGTTTTGGCAAACCTACATAACCCCTGAATTCAACCCCATTTAATCTAGTGTTCAGAGATTAGGTGTTAGGTGTACAAGCATGAGCTAAAGCCCCAAACTTTTATTTCAGATTATTTTGGGATTTTTTTTTTTTTTTACCTAACAAACCCTCCCCCAAAAAATACCATAAAAGTGAGGTAACAGCAGTACACAATGCAAACCCTCCCCCCAAAAAATACCATAAAAGTGAGGTAACAGCAGTACACAATGCAGACAATCAAGGCTGAGACAATAAAAAGAGGGTTCTTTGTTTCCTGAGGCCACAAGTGAAGCAATTTCAATGCAGACAATCAAGACTGAGACAATAAAAAGAGGGTTCTTTGTTTCCTGAGGCCACAAGTGAAGCAATTTGTGTCCTTTCTCATTCTTGTACTAAAAATAGCATTGGGGGAAGGCGTTCATACTAACCAAGTATGAAAGCAATTAAATGTTGTCAGTAGGAAGACTGTGAAATGTGTGAACATGTGGAGGAAAGGGGGATAAGCTGCACAATGAGAGATTTGATGGGATGCACTGCCAAGCAACTTAAGTCCTTGAAAAAACAAGCTTGCAAGTGGGCAGCCTTGCTGGACGGGTGACAGAAGCGTTTTAAATAAGAGCTGTGGTTGGCATCACTGGCATCAAACACATGGGAAGTAGCTGTGCTCCTTCTCCCTTGCAGAAGCACGACGGGCACTTCACGGTGATCCAGCTGGTGGGAATGCTGCGGGGCATTGCCTCTGGCATGAAGTACCTGTCTGACATGGGCTACGTGCACCGGGACCTGGCGGCACGCAACATCCTGGTCAACAGCAACCTCATGTGCAAGGTCTCGGATTTTGGCCTCTCAAGGGTGCTGGAGGATGACCCCGAAGCTGCCTACACCACAAGTGTGAGTTTCTTATCTAATTTCAGCAGCTGATTGCCTGGTGCCTCTTGTATTCCAGTTTCAGATTTGTCTGTGCCACAGGAAGAACAGTTGGAATTGGATTTGTTCCCTTCTCAGTGTGATTCAGCAAACACACTGGCAGTGCTAAGGGAAGTTGTTTTGATTTTTTGGCTAAGGGATGTGTTAATAAACTTCGGCAAAAGTTTATTTTAAGCAAATGTGCAAGTGTAAGTGGGAGATCTTTTTCATTCTTTGTGGTTTTGTTGGCTTTTCCCATGTTGTTTCCTCTTCTGGCAATTTGTGTTCATTTACAAGGATGTGGTTGTGAAAGAGAGAGGTGGGAGAGGAGAGAATCTTACTAGCTTCACTGCTGGAAGCACACTGCCAATGCAAGCCTTGCATTCTTAAATTAGAAATTTAATTTTATTTCACTGAAGTTTATCTTCTAGCAGGACATGCAGGACCTTCTCTGCATGGTTTAGGTCTCAGTTTATTAATACTTAATTCCTTATGTGATGCAAATAAACTGGAAAAGGGGATTTGGGTGAGGGGAGTTGGGGTGGGTTTTTTGGTTTGTGGTGTTGTAGGGGGGTTCCAGTGAAGTGAAAAATTCTTGAAGATGAAGAAGACAAATGACAGATCCCAATACACTATTTTTCCTGATACCAAACTACATTTCAGATGCAATTATTATCACAACAGCTAATTGCAAGCTGAGTTTTGAGTAATTTTCATCTCTATAATTTAAACTAAAACTATTTCAGAGGAAGAGTGCGTTCTCATTACTACTCTCACAAAATGTGCAGAATTTGTATATTCCCATGATAGGGCACAATGACAGAATTGTAATAGAGAAGATAAATTAACATTAAATTAAAATAAATTAAATAATTTATTTTACCTTTTTTTTTTCTACTCCACTTTAAAAAGTGATGTATGGCCAAAATAAGGAACTCATCTAATTTCTCTGTACTGCAGTAAGTATTGTGGTGCATCTACTGAATTCAATTTAGATATTTTAATGAGATTTTAAATCTTATATATTTATATATGTAGAATATATATTTGCTTTTAGTTTAGGCCTAAAATAGAGGTAATTTTGATTACAATTTCCATTTCTTAGAAGTTTCTATACAGAACTGCAAGCTGACCTAGAGGAAAACAAGTCACTTTGCAAGGTTTTCTATTGGTTTTAATATGCCAACTGGGGAAAAAAAGCCCCCAGATTTTACTTTATAGGAGAAATTTTCTTCATTCAGTTCTCAAAACCTGTTTTGCTTCACACTGCTTCTTAGTAAGAGGCTTGAAAGGGAAGGCAGACATGGCTGCAGCTGAGCAGGTTCTCACCAGGGCTGGGGCTGGCTAATGGCCCGTGTGAGGAGCTCAGCTGGCACCAAGTGCCCCAGTGACAGGAGTCAATGACAGCCTCAGCTCCGAGCCCAGGCTAATGGCCCCAGCTGCTGCCAGCCACTGGCAATGGCCAGGCTGCCCCTCTCCCACTGAGGTGCAGGAAAGATACCAATGAGAATTGGAGGCTTTCAGCTATTATTTATCCTGTAATTTTCTGCTGGATACCGACACAGAACAATTAGTTTCGCAGAGTAGTTAGTGCCTGTCCTGCTCATCATGGTTAGAGCTGCTTTTAATCAGGATGTGCTGTGTTGTGAAAAACACAATGCCATGACATGTTCCTTTTTCCTTTATCTGTGCTGAATGACTGCCTTGAAATTTAGAACAGGCTTTGTTGAAATGCTGCCTGTTTTCCTTTTCACCCAAACACGAGAGCCTGGTGTAGAACTCAGAAGTGCCTCAGAGCCCCTGCTCCAGCCTGCCAAGGCTGCAGCCTGGTGCTGAACTACCAAATGCTGCTGGGCAGGTACCGAGAGCATGCCCAGCAGGGAGGGATGTCACAGAGGCTGATGGCAGGGGCAGGTCTCTGTGGCATCCAAGGTGAATCTGTTTTGACCATGAACCCCCCAAAGATCAAAAAAGCATTGAAACTAAGGTGGGAAAATGCTGTGTACCATTATGATATCAAATAAAAACTTCGTAAATGGGAAGAGTTCAAAGCAACAGAGTCAGGTATAAGGGAAATGGAAAGCATTTCAAATCACTTATTCCTTCAACTCCAGCTTTCCTGTCCTTGCAAGTGGGTCCTCACACACTGACTCTTTTAGTCATTGTGGCAGAGCCTGCCCAGCTCTTCCTGTCACCTGTGGTCCTTGGGAAGTGTCCTTCCCTCATTCCTTAGCTGCAGTCCATGTGCTGTGTCACACTCACTCTGTATGAATTGGGGACAACCAGATTTCTGTGGGATGCTCTTGCCTTCCATGGGCTCCATCCTTGGGGTCTTGTTGCCCTTGAGCAAGTCCAGCAGATTTCTCTGTAGGAACATCCACCAGGAAATCAAACACCCTGTCAGTTTTAAAAGGACTCAGCACAACTCTGACCAAAATAGGGTGGGGACACAAAGGAGAAAAGATTTGTCACAATGGCTGTGGAGGACTCAGGAAAGGCTTTCATGGGAACAGAAGGGACAAGAAGCCCACACTGGGTGCCAAATCCTCCTGCACTCTCACTGCCCAGCATTTTGGCACTGACCTTTTCCCCCCTCATGAGCATCTTTCCAACAGAAGGCCATGTGTATTCCTAGAGGATTTTATGGCATCTCTTTAGTTCCATACTGTGTTTTCAACATGTGAAGGTTAAACCCTCGGTGTTCTCTCAAAGATTCTGGTGCTTTCAGAGTTCATGTTTCCTCTCCACAGAGATTTTTATTGATAACAGCCCCGTACCTGTAACTGCAAGAAATCCACAGAGTGGATCTGCATATTGAATAGTGTATTTTTAGCCTCACATCTTCCTGTACAGCACTGTCAGTGCTCAGAGGAAACTGATTATTTTATCTTCCCCTTTTTGTCTTAGTCCTGGTGTCAGAAACTGAAAGGTGCAATTGGATGTTTTCCTTGGAAATTATCTGCAATATACTGTAAGCAAAAAATAAATAGACTTTTATATCTGTGATGCAGTGGTCAATTAGAGTGTAAATGTTTGGGTTTTTTTGTTTTCTAGCCTATTGAGACAAAGGATATAAATATGTCTTTGATGAGAGGGTTTTTAGGAAATAAAATATTGATTCCTATTTGTTACCTGGAATCAAAATATTACAGCAAGATACCACTTTAGAATAGGAACAAGGAATTAAAAGCCAGGAACATTCGACTGCAAATCTTTGTGTTCCAGGTTGATCAGGAAAAGATAAGGCAAACTTTGGGATAACTGAGTTCTATGTGGGTTTTCCCTTTGGAGACAAAACTTGCAGTTTTAGTAAAGGTTTCCAAGGCAACAGTTAGTCATAAAAGGACATTTCTAGTATATAAACAAGCATTTTTCTGTCCATACAGAGGACATCTAGGCTCTTGCATTCCTGCTTTTGGATAGACTGCATTAGGTGATGTAGATTCATTTAGTTTAAAACATGGTCAGGGTTCACATGCGTTTCAAAAGGAACCACATGGCCTCAGAACAACTCTTTACATATAGCAAAATATTTATAATCAGAACAGAATTTTTGCCACTACTCTAAAAAGGACTAAACTGATATTTCTTTTACAGGTAACACCTTAATATGCTGCATTAAATCTAATTTTTAGCGAGACAAAAAGCTGCTACAAACGGAATTATATGATAAATAAATGTATTCTAGATTTCTTCTATCAGTTTTATTTGTGAATCCATTCTGAATTCATTAATTTAGCCTTTCTATAAGAAATATTTTCTTCTTTCTATAATAGTAGTTGGAGAATTGATTTATTGCATTGTATTTCCTGAATCACTTTGTAAACTTTATGGGTCTGATTCTTTTCAAGCCAGTTGGGTGAAATAACTCATCCAGGAAGATTTTAGACTTATTAAATTCGTTAGAGGAGCAAAGATTGATGCCATTAATCTTTATAAATAATAGTAAATAGCAAAACTCTGGGGGGATCAGGATGAGATATTAATATTTTTTGACTTTGTTATAAACTTTCCACATTACAAGACAATTTCAGATTTCCCTGAGTGGTACACAAGTAACAGGTTTGGGGAGAGCAGGTTTAATTTGGTGAAAAGTAAAACAAGATGCAAACGATTTTCCAATTAGTTTGGGATGTTAAGCAATAGTTTCTGAACAGCCCCTGTGCCATGGCAAGCATATTGCCTAGGTATTTACTTTAAGCTTAGAATTAATCATGGACTGTAGAGTAAATTGGTTATTGACAACCATTGAGAAAAAAGAAGCCGCAAAGGTCTGCATTAACCTGTTTTCTTAAAACTCTTTGGCGACCTAAGGTTGAGCATAAATGGTGTCAACTCTTTAACTCCTTGTGTGACACAACATGAAGGGTCTGGAGCAGCAGATGAGGAGGGGCTGAGGGAGCTGGGGGGCTCAGCCTGGAAAAAAGGGGACTTAGGGGGGATCTTATTGCTCTCTACAACTCCCTGAAAGGAGCCAGGTGGGGTTCAGCCTCTGCTCCTGGGAATGAGTGACAGAATGAGAGGAAAAGTCAAATTACTCCAGGGGAGGTTTAGATTGGATGTTAGAAAAATAAAGTATCCTTCCAAAGCTACTGTGTCAGATTATAATATTATTTGCCGGACTAGAGTTACAGAGCTCAATGGGATCCAAAAGGGGCTGGTTTTGGATAGGTCACTTGGTGCCATCCAGCCTCATCAGGATTCTTGTGCTCTTGGGCAGGAATCCAGCTGCTGCTGCCAGACCCCAGACACTGCAAGTCCCTGCTCTTAGCTGGGCACACCCTTCTGAGGGCAAGGGTTTGCTTTTAGCTGCAGTCCAACAGTAGGAATTCCTGTGCTGGGACTCTGGCACACACATCAATATTTTGAAGAAGAGAGTAAATATCTCAGAATGTGGGCAGGAAGCAAGTTCACAACAGCTGTGCTGATGTGTCCAGTTGTGAGAATTGCAGTAAGTGGTTTTGAAGTGTGTGATGGGATTTGTG